TCTACTTGTGCTGACAATATATAATGTCATGGAAATGATAATTATCATGATGTGCAGCTCAAGAAAAAGGAAATAAGAAATATCCTAACGTACCGTCGTCAGAGTCGGTCGGCATGTTCTTGAAAAACATCGGCGCGTAGACTTCGAGCGCGTTGAGGATTGGAGGAAGCGTGGACAGGCCCGAGGAGTTGAGAGCCCAATTATACCGCAGACTGGGAGTCAGGGGGGTGGTGCTGTATATGGCATCGGACATGAGGTAGGGCGGGGTATAGTTAGCGTACCACTTGTCGCCATTGAGGTAAACGTTGAACGCCCTCGAGGTGTTCGGGAGAAGCTCCGAGAAGTGGAGGTTGGCGTAGAACTCGTTAACGGGGGCGCCCGAACCCACAAAGTCCCAGTAGAATTCCAACATGCTGGAGTTAACGGGCACTGCCGCCGTTTGCATGACAGCCGACGGAGCCTCGAATTGATCCTTGGCGAAGTTCTTTACAGTGAGGTTGGTAGATAGGGAGGTCCAACCGGCCGAAGCAACGAAGGGCAGCCAGATGCGATCGTAGCGGTCGAACGGATATCTGTTGATCATCACCGCATCACAAGTATATCGTACGGTTAGCTCTCTTTCTCGTAATATTCTTTTTTTTTATTTAAAATAAATTATCTTATTATATATATATATTCTTATAAAATCTAAAAACTTAATGGAAATATTTTAATATTTAAATAAAAATACATTTGTTATGAATATTAATGGAAATATTTTAATATTTAAATAAAAATAAATTTGTTATATCAAAATTTGTGAGAACAAATATATTATAAAAAAACTCCTCTTTTTATTTTTTTTACCTAATATCAAAAATACCCAAAGACATACACTTTCCCTTTTCTTTCTCTTTCCTTTTCCTATAATTCGGTCTTATAATATTTTTACAACGTTATAGTAATTTTTGATAATATCAAAAAAATGCTGTAATATAGTAAAAATATATTTTAAAAATATAATCAAATCAAATCAAATCAAATTCTATGAGTAATTTGAAAGAAAACAGAAATATTTTGGTGATCAGCAGCTGTGATGCTTCAGCTCACCTCAACAAGTGATTCGTGGTCGGTGCCAGGTTAATTCGCAAGGACAGGACCAGATTTTGCGTAGCATTGGCGTAAGAATAGATGGCGTTCTTGAGCGGCCGCAGCTCCAGTGCAGATATGAAGGGAGTTGCAGAGCCAGTCTTTACCAAGCAGACCGATGCGGAATCAGCAGAAGCAACAAAAATGGCCTCTGCCCGATGAACATCGGATGCCTTGGTGATGTTGACGGTCGTCCAAAGGTTGACGCCAAGGTGAAGGTCGAAGAGGAGGGGATTGCTGGGGCTCGCTCCGTTCAGGCCGTCGTAGCTCCCGTACATGAAGGAGGCTCTCACCAAGTACTTCTGATCCGGCGTCACCGTCAGTGCGTAGCAATTCCGAGATCCATTTGGGAAGCTTCGAAGAGTCTGTAGTTGTTTCTCGAGCGAGGAGCCTGCGTAGTTGGTGGCGATGGTGTGGTCCGTCCCTGTGTCGATGAACCCGTCGTCTGATACGTATGGTATGCTGGTGGTTTCGTCGGTGTAATTTGTGTTGCTGCTGATGCCACAGTCGATACTTACGTATCCTGCAAAAGATGATGATAGAATGAAGATTGCCCACTGTGATCGTTAGTGAACATTTGCCAAGAGATTGCCGAAATCGTTTTCAAGGAAGTGTCGTGAATCATACGACATTTGAGGGAGGCATCAAAACTGACGTGAATCAAGGATCAGCTACTGCCTAAATGCATGATAAAATCATCTGGAAACGTATATGCCATCATATGCTAGAGAACTACTGAGAATAAATAGGAAGAAACAACATCAATATCAGATTAAGATTCAGGAGAAGCTGGATCACCGTCGGTAGTAGGAAGCTGTGCGTGAACTGTGCTCAGAGACGCGATCGCCAGAAGAAGGAAGAACCAAAAGGCCATACTCCACGAGCCAACACCACCCAATGCGCGAAATCAGATGGCCGGCCATCTCCTGCTTTTGTAGAAGAGGTTGGTAGATGACCTGACCGTGGACTTCGACCAAGCCCTTCCTCACCAGCTCTTTGGATTGCTGGCTTCCTGCGGACACGCTTCGGCAGAGCCGAGAAACTAAGCATGATACACGTGTACATAAAGCGTGCGGGTTCCACCTGAAACGATTGAAGCATTGGATGCTTAACAGCTGCAGCTGTTACAGAGTAAAGCAGCAAGAAATGGGGTTGCTGATCTGGCCATTCACATGCGTGACAGGACACCGATGTCAAAGTCAATGGTTTTATGGTAGCGTCCACTGTATGGGAGTCTGAATTCGTAACCGAGTAGTAGAATGATTTCGTGGTAGCTGCCTTCTGACACGGTCTTTAAGCAGCGGCCGGAGAGGAAGACGCCGCATCTTTAGACGGATGTGATTGCGACTGCAAGGCAGGAAACTAATGAACAGAAGATGATGATATCACGGAGAGCGACTATGTTAATGTCACTTGCAATAACCTCCTTATAAAATGACAGGAGATTCACAGATCATCATGCATTATTTGCGATGCAGATAAAAGATGGGAGTAGGTAATGGAACTAGTTTGACCTTTTATTAGACATAATCAATTTTGATGGGGTTATCTTCTTGTTCGTCCAAATTCTGATAAGCATCGTGCATCCACGAAGTGTGACTCGATTGGGATGAGATTGACCTATTTGTTCTATCCCTATCGGGGACTCTAAATGTCTTATGTACGTTGATCCACCTTAGTTTAATCGTTAATGTCAGGATTAATTATATATTATTTTTATGTAATTAATTATTCGTCTTCAAAAATTATACTGGGATTTCAATACTTATTAAAGTGAAACAATAAAATTTCTATACAAAATAAAAAAATTAAGAGAAAAAAACTTTATTGAAGTAATATAATTAAATATTTTACTTTCATAAATATACAAATCTCAATATAATTTTTTAAAATATAAAAATTAAGATATTAAATATAACTAAGTATAGAAGATAATATATAATTAGCGCACGATGAAAAAGCCAACTCACCTACTTTTTAACATTAAATAACACAAATATAAAAATCAACTAATACCCATTTGAGTTATAATTATCTCAATTCAAATCTTAAAAGACCTCCTACCTAAATCTCATTATAATTTTTAAAAATAATATAATGGGTATAAATATTCAATATATTTTGTTGTGGGGGGAGTGAATAACTCCAAACAACAAAAAAAACTCAAGTTCAATTATCAAATAATATACTTCACATAAAGATTAATATAGCTTGACATTTTTCACCTATATTTATCGAGAAGATTAAAATTTTTATAACGTGAGATTAACATTTATTTTTTAAGTTATGCATAAATTTCATATAAATTAAAAAAAATATTTATTTTTTTTAACCTAATATAACATGCTTTCAAGACATCCCAAAGAGGCCATGAGCACCCAAAACATTCATCCAAATCCTAATTTTCATAGTATTTTTTCCTTCATAATGACTCCAATTAACATTCCTTTTCCTTGTAATACACTTATTCTAGACGTACATATTTCTTGCACTTCCACGTGAATTGTTGGGATGCACATGTCCATCGAGGATACCATCACTGGTAACATGCGTTGGAGCTGCAATGATCAGCCGACACCCTCTCCTCGGAGGGATAAAGATCACCGGAGATGGAGGAGACTGGTCAAGCCAGGAGATCTGGGTTACACGTGGAGATGAGTTGGATATCTAAGACAGCCACATGCCTCCAACTCTTATTCTAGTCCTGCAAACAGTCATGTTGTCCTTGGGCTTCCATGCAAGGTCGAGTTGAAAGGCACCCAAGAGTAGACCTAAAATTTGGAAGGTAGTAGAGGGTAAATTCTATCCTTGGCCAGAGGATCCTATGATACATGCATCCAGGGGTTGCATAGAATATGTGTGTGTGTGTGTGTGATCAATGTATGTCTTCTTGTTCTGATGCAGAAAGAAAAGGCTTATGTGTGTTAGAAATATTTGTTTCAGAGGAATCCTATGATGTGTTCCTTCTTCTATCTCTAATGGTGGATGAGAGATCCTGACAGTGCAGTACTCTTTTAGGTTTGGAGACTTGCCTGACTGAAGGAGGAGGCTCACCACATCAGGTGATGAACATGTATTTCATCTGCAAAATAATCAACAAATTGTGAAGATCCACAGTCTTTTTTGAGTTGAGTGCCAAGTACATATGGGTGCATTAACAAGTATATAATTGAATACTTGGAAGAACTGGTCATCAATGCAAACAAGTTCATAACTGGAACTGGAACTTGTTGGACAATTCACTCACAGCTCATCTATCATGCTTTCTTTTGTTGCCCACAGCAGTGCATTAGGTCAAGAACCACAAGCTTGAACTAGGAGAGAGTGCAGCCACATTTAGATCTCCAGCTTCATAGGATGTCAACCTTCCCGGTGTTGCTTTGACGACATTGTCTTGCACACAGACATGTTTGCAGCAGCTGCGGCACAACCCATCCTACCAACAGGGGGTTTCTTCACCCACACTTCAAAACGCAGGCATCCACCGTCCTCTGTCTTCCAAAACTAAGGACACCAAAGATTGACAGTCGTGTTTCTTGAAATCTACAGCAAGCATCTATTTGAATTCACCATCCAGTTTCTCGATACGATGAGCTGCTCATTGGCTGGATCCAGTGAGATGTCGTGGCCGTATGTTAAAGGCACCTGAATCAGCAGTTTCCATCTAAATCAACCACCAATTATCCTTCTGCGGCCGATTAGCGGATATATCGACGCCAAGAGATTGCCTGCATCTGATGTCGCTATGTGGCAAATGCTCGCTTGGAAAGGGGTTGCACACAGCTAGTTCCAGCTGCATGCGCTGGGTCCGGTGACAGCATCGCACCAACCAATATCTCCAGCCCATCCTAATCCTCCTCCTTGTCACCTTTCCCTTTTTGCCTCCTTTCTTTAAGCTGATCATGGCCGAGGTGAGCTGATCGGTGGGTGTTCTTGAGATCTCACCAGCATGAAGGCGTAGTTAATCCAATCTCTACATGAATCGGAGTGACACGTTGCTTGAACTGGTACAACTCCAGATTCGTGTAGGATGAATCTGCTTTTACGTGGATCATATAATATGAAGACAGTCACTCAATCTTGTCTTCTGTATAAAGACGAATCGAATGCTTCCTATAAAGATCCACCACAGCGAAGTTAATACGAGAGAGAGAGAGAGAGAGCGAGCGAGAGAGATGGATCCCTGCCCATTCGTTCGGCTCATCGTGGAATCTCTTGCGTTGAAGCTACCGTCAGTGGCGAAGCCGGCAGGCCCTGGCGTCCACCCCTCCGCCACCCCATGCTTCTGCACTGTCCAACTCCAAGACTGCCCCTCCTCCTCCGCCACCCAGACCGCTCCTCTCCCTCTCGCCGTCGACCCGACGTCGACCACCAACTTGATCGAACCAGCAGCCTCCACTTGCGCCGTTGCCTCCTCCGCGGTCGTCATCAGTATCGAGCCAGCCGCGTTGCGGAGGCCGTCAGGCAGACCGGCAAGCCTGACCGTGGCGGTCTACGCGGGCCGGACAGGGAGCACGTGCGGGTTCAGCTCCGGCCGGCTGCTCGGCCGGGTCAGAGTGGCGGTGGACCTCGAGTCGGCTGCCACGCGGGCGGCGGTGATACAGAGCGGGTGGGTCAGCATGGGGAGCGGGCTGTCGGCGGCGCGGCTCCACCTGGTGGTGCGGACGGAGCCGGACCCCAGGTTCGTGTTCCAGTTCGGGAGCGAGCCGGAGTGCAGCCCGGTGGTGTACCAAATCCAAGGAGGCGGTGGGACTGGCCACGGCGGTTGCGTTCGCCAACCGGTGTTCAGTTGCCGGTTCTCCGCTGACCGTCGGCGGACCACCCGAACCACGTGAGCTTATTTCGACCATTGTTATGCTTGCCAGACCTCTCAAGTCATTAATGAAATAGGAATATGTTGGACTAAACTACTCCATATATTATCCACAGCTCACCGCCAACCAAAAACAACCGGAGAAGATGTTGGTTTGGTTCACTGGGTGGAGAAAGAGACCACGAGAGCAGGGAGCAGCGCAAGGGGTGGACTGTAACCATTCATGACCTCTCGGGATCCCCGGTGGCTGCCGCGTCCATCGTCACTCCCTTCGTGGCCTCCCCCGGTTCAGACCGTGTCTCGCGCTCCAACCCCGGCGCATGGCTCATACTCCGCGCCGTCGGCCCGTCCGCCACCGACTGGAAGCCATGGGGACGGCTCGAGGCCTGGCGCGAGAAAGGCCCCGTCGACGCCCTGGGCTACAGGTTCGAGCTCATGACCGACGCCGGACCAAACCGCGGATTCCCCATCGTGGAGTCGTCCCTCAGCATGCGCAAAGGTGGCCGCTTCTGCATCGATCCTGGCGTCGTCGAAAAGTCAGGGCCCTTCGCCGGTGGCTTCGTGATGGCAGCGACGGTGGAAGGTCAAGGCAAGGTGAGCAAACCAACAGTTCAAGTCGGGGTGCAGCACGTATCGTGCATGGCGGACGTCGCTCTCTTTATAGCGCTGTCTGCAGCCATTGATCTCAGCGGAGATGCTTGCCAGTTGTTCTCCCACAAGCTACGCAAGGAGCTTTCCCAAGACCAGCAAGAGTACGCCCCTTGAAGAGGATGGCCAAGTTCCTCCTTGTTCATGTGATGTGATGACTACAGGCTTTCAGCAGTCTTTTGTTTGATCACAAGAATCGTTTCCTCTGTTTTGTTGATATCACTGTTATCATTTTTTTGTTTTATGAATCTTAGGAGTAATCCGAGCAGGATTATTTCTAGAATTATTTTCATATCACCCAATTTCCATTGCATCCTGTGCTGATGCTACCATGATTGCGCAAAACCACAGGTTTTGATGCTTACTAGAACAAAAAGAAGCATGACTGCAACTATACGAGTACGAAAGACTCTTCGATGAATCATTCAGAGTTATATATTGATGGGAAATAACCTTTATTGGATCAACATGTCAGTAATATCAATACAGGAAATTGATAATTCTTGAGTCAAATTAGGGAAGGAAGCATAAAATGAAACAACAAGATGCTCTGTTTCTGATTTCTGGCATTAGAATCAGCATCATCAACAACCTCGTTAACTTCATCTCATGGTGCAGTGACCCGTTTACGGACTCGGGCTGAGCGCCTTAAAGAACTCTGCAGCACAAAATAGAGAAGTTGAGAATCTGAAGCTCCACAGATGTTTCTTAGCTAGAACAGAAGACAACTGACCTGTTCCCTAATGAGTGACCTCTGAACGGCAGGACTTCTGTTCATAATCGCTGTAGTCTCCGACGGATCTGTTGGATATTGATCTGGCTTTGATTCCTCAACTGGATCTGCTCCTCTTCCTCTGAATCTTTGGGTTGAACCTGTTGGATGGGCAGTTCTCCCAACAATGGTGAACTCCCCAAGCAATTCCACCACCGGTGGCCGAGTACCAGCTAACTCTGTTCCTTCATTGCTTGTGTGACTCAGAGGCTTATGACAAACATTTGAATCGCTTACCTTATCCTCTTTCCCTCTAATGGAAGATATAACCTCATCCTGAATGTTCATCTCACAGGTGGGCGTGGATGCTGGCGCTGAGGTCTTCTGGTGCTTCAGACAAGACTTGTACAAGATAGTACTCAGCGTAAGCGTCAGCAAAGACATTGATAGTAGTATCCTACGAACATTCTTCGAGGCAAACACAAAGTTATGGTCCCATTTGAACTCCGTCTTCCCTGTATCAGTGACTTCACTCTCGTCCATTTTTCGATCGTCTGACACCAGGCTTGAGAAGATTTGGGAACGAGGAAGCCACAAAGATTCATTTAGCTCTGCGCCGCCCTCCGCCCACGGTGCCTCCCGGAGGTCCACAATTTCATCTTGATCATCTGAAGAGGTGGTATCAGCAAATTGAGTCTCTGAAACTTGTGACGAGACAGCCGGCACATGATGAGTGTCACCCAGAATCTCCTCGCTCCATTCATCTGGAAGAGAAAGACTGCATTTGTGCTGCCCAGCGAACTGGGAATCAGCAGCCTCGTCAGTCATTGCTTCGACCACAGAGTCATCTTCAGTACCAATTCCATTCTCAAGCATCGATCCTCCATCTTTCCTTGTTGCCACTTCAATTCCATGAAGCGATTTGTTCTCTTGTAAGTGTCGCATTCTTAGACCATCTGAATCTGATAGATTGCTGTCGTTATCGTCGTTTCCACAAGTAAATTCTTTGTGAGGCACATCCAAGCAAACCTTAGACAGCCCCATCAGAGTCACCATCATGTTTCCAGAAAAGGTGTTCTGATCACAGGCTCGACGGTTCACTTCCCCATCTCCATGTTCAAAATCTGAGCTCATGGAAGAAACGCAATAAGAAGAGAATATCAAAATCCCAATGAGGAACATCTTCCATGCCAATTTAGACCACCCAGGCCTCTGATCCACCTCCTCCTCCACCTCCTCCTCCTCCTCTCCCATGATGATATCTTCAACGTCGCTAACTTCTTCTTTCTCGCATTCTTGTAAGGATTTGGAAGGCGCCGGGAGCAAGTCTTCTGCATCAAGCTTCTCCGGATCCGAAGAAAGGCTCGAGTCGCCTCCCGATCCGTAATCTTCCTCCCTCTTCTCTCCCACGAAGCGCATGAGAATCTGCCGGCGCCTATGCGGGTTATAGCGTAGGAACTGCGGCCTCGGGGAGGTGTAATTCTTCAGCGGATCATAAGAAACAGGGTTGGAAGGACTAGAGCAGGCTTCATCTCGATCCCCACAAAGACAGAACCTCGAAGAAAGATCCGAGCCCATTTGTGCTCCCAAGCGGGCGTCATGATTACGGTTGTTCTTCTCGGACAAGATCTTCCTCTTCGCAGCCGAAGACATGGCCGTAGTCATTAAGTTCTTGGCTTCCTTCCCTACTAAAAAAGGCCTGCTGTTTTCGTCAGTCTCTCCGGCGTCTTTCATTCCTTTACCAGAGCTTCTTCTTTCGGAATCTGCAACCAAAAAAAAAAAGGACCTCATCAAGAAGAGCTACTGAACCTTGAAACCAAATGATATTCCAAGCTCATCAAAAAATTCAAATCGAAAATGATGAAAACGGGAGATCAAAGTCGAGAAATTTACCACAAGGGAACGGCTTGCGATACCAAGAGTTCGGTGAGCGACTATTCGTAGAGAAATCCATTAATCTCGTTTCTTTTTCGTCTTGGATTTCTACTTGCAGAGGTGACGAGATCCGACCGTTGGTGATTTTGTAGCTTATGACCTTATATTCAAATTTCGAATATCTCATCCGACCGTTGGTGAGAAGCAACAGGTGGCGTCCTCAGACCGCTTGGAGTTGCAGTGTCCTGGCAGACCAATTTAAACAACGAGGACCGTATAATTAATTATTAGGAAATAGAAAATACTATATCATATAATATTATATTAGAGAGCCAGACGCGGTTGTCAACAACCGACGTCGCCCTTCCCATCTCTCGTTCCGGCCCAAGCCCAACAGTTAACCACCGACCTCGTCCACGCAGAAGAGGGCAACATCACACGGCCCGAAGCGCAGGACCATGGCTTCCTTCGCCAAGAAACGGAGGATCGAGGCGAAGAAAGGGTAACGCTGCTCTCCGATCTCCCTCTCGTTGCACCAGGAAATTTTCCTTCGTTTAGTTCATCTGGTGATGTACCTGTTTCACTTCACGGTGTCTCGCGAATATGAATCTGGTTCGAAATAGGATGACCTGGGGTTCTTGTTCTGCTCGTGATTACCGGGAGTGAATCGAGAGTTCTTGTTGTGCTAAATAGGCATTCTCGGGTAACTTTTCTGCACAGCTTTAAGTAGGTTATATTGGTCGCTGTTGAAACATGGATGAAAGATTCACTGTTGGGAGAGCATCTCAGAGATTTCCATCGGAACGTGCAATGTTTAGAACATACGAGGGTTCACGATGGATGATAGATGCTCTATTGCAACCAATTTGAGCTTGTCTAAAGGTTTCGTTCACAGGGCTCATTCGTAAATTTCGGGAGTGTATATTGTTGATTTTAGGCCTGTGTCCGTTGGTTATGTGCCTGATTTCAAAAATCATCCAAAAATTATGCTGCTGTTCCAGAATAAGCTTAGATGATCCATATTAGAAGATGATAAAATCGAAATGTTGTAGCTGAATATTAATCCTATTTGAAATATCATTCGGGTTGATGCCATTTAGAGGCATCATCTACATTTGCAAACAGTGTTTCTGGTGTATGTCTTTGATGAGCTTGGTCTTCTTAATCTCTTACGGGTTTATATTGTAGACCATAATTTGGCAGTCTGCATAAAGATTAAGGGAGAACCAAGAACAATATTTAACCCGGGCAACTGCTAACTTTCTTCCGAGCACTATTTACTTTAAAATTGCCAGTAAGTAAACCCATTTATTACCGTAAACTTGGCCTGTTCTAATCTAGGCTTATGTTTTAGTGTTGTGCATTATTATCTGGTTTACTGTTTTTCTATTCTCTGGAGGATCTTTCACATTAATTCTAACATGCTGTTGTACAGTATTGGATTCATTTTACCTATAGTTTCTTTTCCATTAAATGGATAGTCAATTGTCTTGTTTAAATTTACTTTGAGAGTTTCCAAGGTTTTGAGATTATTTATTTGAGTAGTGATAGGGGTTGGTTGTCTCAAACCTAGATTGTAGGTGGATTTTGAGAATGTTGCTTTTTTTTTGCTGACATTGGATTCCTTATAGTCATCTGTTTTCTCCTTTTTTATGTCTTATTTTTTCTCTTCTTCAGTCTTCTGCTACCTTCATTCTCTTTCTAATCCTTGCTACATGTTTTTTTGAAGTTGCTAGTTAGTTTGGTTGGTAAAGATTTTGTCATTATCAGTCTCTAAGATGAAAACCCACCTCCACCACTTACCATTTGCACAAAAAAATAAAACAACTTGCTATAACCTATCAATCTGTTTAAACGATCAATCCAATTGGATCTTGAACTACTATGGTCTTGAGCTATCTACCTCTATGTTTTCTATTTTCCTATTACAGCTGCAACATATCAACTGTATTCAAGGCTATTTAATCCTAAAACTGATTGGTTCTAGTCCAATATTTTTTTTTCATCTCTGGGCAATGGGATTGCGTTAGTGTTAAGACATTAACAAAGACACAAGCGTAGGCCTGTTACCAAAACACATTTCCAGTGTAAACTGCATATTTTTGTTTCTCTCTGCTTGCCTTCTCGGTCATTTTCATTTCTATTCTTTTTTTCTTGTGCAGGAATGTGCCATCACTTGCTGTAAAAGATAATGCTGCAGCTTCTTCAACTGGTTCCCCTGTGTGTTTTGGCACCTTGTGCTTCTTTTTTCAGTTTTTTTTGCCTCCTTCCTTCTTCTGTTCGTTAATATATAATTTTTAATTAGATACAGATCCCAACAGCACCAGCCAGAGTGCAATTGCAAATTCAGCAGGCCAAGAAATTTGCAGTTACACAGGCACAACAAGAAGGATGCCTTGGAAATTATAGAAGTTTTGATTCACCATTTGGGAACTATCTTGTTCCTGTAATCCCCACTCGTGCTGACTTATTTGGGTAATTTCTAGGTGACTGCTTGCCGTTTGTTTGGGATAGACAAATAGCTAAACCTCTTATCTTTTGATGTATCCTTTTTTTAACTCTCAAACAGATTAATTTCCTTTTCGTTGATAGTTTTCTTCATTTGTTAGTTCTTTAACTCTTGAATCGTAAACCCATATCTTCTTTTTAGAATCCTTTGATCTCTTACCATCTATACTGGTGTATACTGTGTATACTGGCGTAAAACAAATGGTATGGTCTAGTGTTTTTTTTTCCCCATTGTAAATTAGTATGGTCAAAATTCTTGAACAAATTAAGTGGATATATGCACAAGGCTCCAATATCTCAGGAGACTTGATATATTTAATCATGCAAGCAGAGAGACTATTTTCATAACTTCAATCCTGTCCACTTAAGTTGCAATTGAGTAATTTTATCGTGGCTCTACTGCTTGCAATTGAAACTTTTGCATTGGCTGACACTATAAAATTTTATTTGTTTGCAAAATCTGTGTTCTAGAAGTTGATCATCCCATTTTTCTTTGTTGGTGGAAATATTAATTGTATGTATATAATATTCATGTCATTCTGAGTGTATCATGATTTATGCCTTACAGCTATTAACCATTCTCCATATAAACTACTGGAATTTCATCATGTATTGGTCTTTTGTCATATTTTTCTCTTGTTTTACTTTGAGTGTGTGTTTGAGAATCACAGCCGAAGTTGTTCGCTCCACAAAATGTTTATGCTGCTTCATTGATGTAGTTTTCCTTTTCGATTTTTTTGTTTTTGCTTTCTTCTATATACAGAAGGCATCCCACTAATTATGACAGTTTGCATGTGTTTGTGTTTGTGCTGCATTCACGAACCAAGTTGGTTTCATTATATCTTTTTATCTCCCATTACATCTAGCAGTTAAATGTGATGTATGTTCAAATTTCGGTAGGCTGTTAAAATATTTTGTTCCCAAATGGATATGATAATGACAGAGTCGTTTATCTACATTCTGTTTACCAAACAAATCTAATCTCAGGTTCCACGCTCGTGAGAATAACTGGACCAGCCTGCCTCGGTCATGATTGCGTGGTTCTAAGACAGCAATGCATTTGGCCACCCCCAGATTTAGCTGCAACTTTAAGGTATAAGCATCTTCCACTATATCTTTTTGTTCTATTGATTTCAGTCCCAGTAACTGAAACGATTCAACACATCGCATATGTCGCTTTATTTATGCTTCCTAGTACTTTGGGCCCATTCAGGCTCTCGGCATAACGTTTACAGAACGAGGTTTTTGATATGTCCTGAGACCGTAGAACGGACTTAAAGCAGGTAGGAACTGCTGAAGGTTCCATTTGATTCTTCGTGAAAATAGCAACAGAAGGGTCTTAATATGCATTCCGTAATGATGGAAATGAAATGCTAAATAAGTAGATCAATTGAAGAAGAAAAGAAATGCTAAATAAATACACTTGATGGGTTGTCGCTTACAAATGTTAATTGTATTAACGTGGGATCCTATCCAAGGATATTCACTGTTAATCCTGAGCAAGTTCTAGAGTCGTGCAATAGTTAAGCTTTGTTCTCAATGAAAACTGTATTTGTAGTAGTAACCTTTATTACAGTAAAAGAAAATATCAAATGCACTCACCATTCTGTAATTGCGTACACACTAGAGATAGGAACACCAAACATCTCCCATAACATAACGCCGCATCATTCAACTACGACAGAAGAAGAAGGCTATTATGTGGTAGGCAATTGCTAGGCACGCTGCCACCATGATTTGCTCAGCGAGAGAGATGGTCTTTTCCTTTTCCGAGTGTAGATTCGGTCGGGAGATGCCGTGGACGATGGCTTGATGTCTGGTGTGGTGGAATGCCATGGAGATGGAATCCTGGGGGTCTCCTTTCTTCAGAACTGGCTTCCCGATGACATGCTTGTAGAACCCACCACTGCATGCCTGATGCAAAAAATTCGAGTTCAGCACACGCCGAAAGTGCATGATGCCGCCATCTCCAGATGTTCGCAGGATCAGTCTGATTCAGATTCCGTTCAAGAAATATGAACAAACAGATGTCACCTTAAATGATCACCTGGATTTGATCGCCAACGGTGACGACGACGGCTGCATTCTCCGGACAAAACCGGTACCAACCTCGCTTGGAGTAGATATGGAACTCCGAAGCGCCACCTGGGAGATGCAGGCTCAAATCACAAGAGCAGCTCCAACTCCTCACCAGCATCCTTAGCAGTTCATGCTTTATCCCACCATTATGACTTCCATTCGGTGCATGCTTGTGGAGGCAAAGCAAAGAGCCATCTGCTGCTTCCTCCTCTCTTCCCGCCTTCTTACCCAACAAAACCTCTTCGACTCTGCTTGCAATCTTCTGGATCTCGCACCACAAGCCCTCCACTTTATCGCTGCAAAGAGATGCATTGACGTTCCTCGCATGACCGTCCGATGCAGATCAAAATAAGCGCGTCACAAGGCGGGAAATCGGACGTGTTATTTATTTACCTGAAATCCTTATAACTCCGTGGCCAAATCGCCGCTAACTCTCTTCGGTCTCCCATCCCGCTCCTACACCACCACAAGAACTCCTCGCCTTCCCCTTCCTCTTCCACTTCGAATCCCCACCGCCTCTCCGGGGATCTCGCCGCCTTTGTCCTCGATTCGAGCGGGATTCCGAACGCGGGGCACGCCGCGGCTCCGACCGCCGCGACGAGGCCCGGTGAGATCCCATGGTTCACGAGTTGAAAGCACCCGAAGGCTGCTGCCGCGGACTTGACAAGATCGGCGGCGCCTGATTCGGCGTCCCCCGGCGAGATCAACGGCCGGAAGTCGATCGCCGGGGGGTTCCACGCCGTTGCTTCCTGGGGGAAGATGCGATGCGGCAGGTTGAGTTTGGGTACTCGGAGGGAGTGGCTCAAGAACCCGGCGAACTCGTCGTCGCCGTCTGGGGAGTCCAGGCCATGAGGATGCACGCCGGCTACCGGAGACGGCGGCGGGGCTCGGAACTCCGGCGGAGGGAGCATGGCTTTTAGAGGAGAGGAAGCCATACGAGGGAGACGGAGGGAGTAAATAAAAGAAAAAGGGGCGAAGGGAAAGGGAAAGCGAAAGGTGGGCGGTGGGGCGTACCGATGATGGCATATGTTCCAGAATCGATCTGGACTGCTGGCAGAGGTGAGGAGTTCTCGAGAGCTCTGCTCTTTTCCTTTTCTGCTTTGCTTTTAGCCTATCTTGCTTGCGGAACTTTGTACAAATAGAATTTAGACAGCATACCCAACAAAAGCCTTTCTCTGAATAGTAATCGTAATAATGATCCATGGATCGATCGCCTTAGAAGCTGTTGCCAAACAAGATCACCAGATTAGTCATTACCATTGGATCTGATAGACAAAATGAGGGTGTTCAACAATCTTAGAGTCTCTAATGCTGGGTTAGGAATTTGCATGTCGCATGCACGATGGACATTTACTTTGGTATTTGGTTTCATGCACACATAAAATGGTATTTTGTTGAAGGATGGTTTCATTTAAGTGTATAGACAAGAAAATGAATCTATTGAAGCTACTCAAAGCAACAGTTAACTCTGTTCTGTATCTGATTCAAGTCCTTAGCAGTGTCCTTTTTCCATTGCATGCAGATGAACTGAAAAGCTAAAGCCACTCCACTGGTTGGTGTTAGATGGGCGGTGCTGATGTACTGGAGGAGGTTCTTTACTGCCTTTCAAGATGCAAAATCTGAATGCTTGCACATTAGGATCCAATAAAGGGAAAGAAAACTCGATCCAGATTTCTGACAGGCGTGCACATTGCTTGTCCTGGATGCATCATTTGGTCATGTTCTTCTGCACTTTGCCTTGATTTCATAGACTTGTGTTATCCTTCCTATTGAGTGCTGGTGTCTTCTATGGCTATTCTGATGCTTACCTTACTCTCATGTTGAAAAGAATCAGATTGC